CAGTCCCGCTCCTCCCCTCTAGGCTCCGCCCCCACCTGCAAACTGCCCCCTGCAGGAGCTCAGGCCCCACTTCTGCATCGACTCCACCTTCTTTTTTTTTTTTGACTCCGCCTTCTTGAGGTCAATGTCGCGTCCGTCAAAGCTAGATTGCGCATGCGTTCTCCTCCTCGCGGCGGCACTCCCTCGAGGGGTTATTTGGCAGCTGGTGCTCACCGTAGCGGGTGGGAGATCACGTGTCGGAGGTCGCAGGGCGGGGCTGGTGGCTACTAGGCGGAGACTCCCTAAGGAGTATTCCACCCGGGACTGTCTCGTTCTAAGGGACGTGCTAGCCGGGATGGCCCTGAGCGACGAGCTTGCGATGGGTACAGCCGACGAGGCAGAGGACGACGCATCAACCCGCGGCGCAGCCCTGGAAGCGTTCAGCGAGAGCGAGGAGACCCGCGCGCTGCTCGGCCGCCTGCAGGCGGTGCACGGCGAGCGCAGGGCGCGGGAGGTGGTGGAGGAGCGGTTCCGCGGTGCGCGCTGGCTGGGCTGGGCTGGGCTGGGCTGGGCGGCCGGGATTTGGCTCCCTTGCTTCTTTTGTACTCTTTGCCCCGGGGCTAGAACCCGTGGACAGCTGGGTGGACAGAGAGGGCGTGAGAGCGGGGAATAGCAGCAGCCTGTGGTCCCCGGGGTGGGGTCTCCTGGCTCTGGGACTCTGCGCCACGTGGAGCGGGGACTGCGTTTGTGGGCGAGGCAGGACCGGGCAGTGCTTGCACAGCTCCTCAGTCCAGATCTTTACGTCCAGACGTTTACGTTTGCGTATAGTCATTTCCTACGGGCCCTGATGCAGTCGAGGTTTTGTATTTCAGTAAAGCCACATTTGCGGAGCTTTTCATCTGAAGCCTCTGCACAACGTTGTCTTCTTGGTTTGGAGTCATAGTGCCCTGACCCTAGGGTGGTGGCCCTAGTGGTATTTAGCACTCCTAGCCATTTTTTCATTCCTTGGAAGTGGTCATGTGGTAGGTTGAGTACGAAGTGTGTGGCAGGTGAAAACCGCACAGGCAGAGAGATTTCTTTTGGACAGAAGCAGTTTCAGCCACTGGCCGAAGTAAAAGCAAATAGCCCAAAATGTCAAGGGGTTGTAGGGTTATGGGTTTGAAGAGTTGGCAGGTAGCAGGGCAGCAGCCAAGGAGTAGAAGAGGAGAGCACAAGGAGAGGTGGGGACCATAGATGTGGGATGAAGGACTGGCAAAGGGACCCCGTTAGGGAGGGAAGTAAGGGAGGGCCCAGAGGAGGTGGGAGGAGAGGACCCAAGAGGAAGATGTGCTGATCAAGGGAGGAGCAGGAACCTGAGCCACAGTGACTCTCAGGAGGCTGGAGGGGTGGTGGGTGGTGGGTGGTACCTCTCAGCCAAAGTATGTTGTGTTCCTGGGAACTGGCTAAAGCTGGGAAGTGGAGCTGCCCTGTAGGTTATTAAATAGGAAGCCGTCTAAGGCTCATACTCTTGTTTGGCATAGTAGTTAACCTTCATGTCATTTTTCTTTTAGTAATATTGGACAAATATCAGGAGCAGCCTCACCTGTTGGATCCACACCTTGGTAAGCATCAAAGTTGAAGATTTTGATAGTTCATTTTCAGATGGCCACCAGTGCCTTATATACTATGCTGGCACCTATGCGTGGGCTGCAGCAGAAGGTGTCAAGGTGGACCAGGTATGGTGGCACACGTCTGTATCCCTAGCACTATGGGAGGTTTAGCCAGGAAGGATTGACAGTTTCAACCCATCCTGGGAAACTTAATGACTTGCCAAAACCTTTTCTCAAGAAAGAGCTCAGTGAAAAATTCTGAGCTCAATACCTAGCACTAAAAAAAAAAAAAAAAGCAGAAGCAGAAGTTAGGCTTGAGTGTCCAAAGTGCCATGTGACAGCAGGCCCAGTCAGTTGGTTTTAGTAGGACTGTGATGGTGTAATGAGGTTTTACCTGTTAACCTGGGCTGTGTGCAGTTGTGTCTGAGTTACCTTCTCCTTGCTTCCTTTCAAGGAGCAAGTCTCTTCTTGTGTGTATGTTGTATCTGGTTGCTTCTCTGGCAGTAATCACACGGGATCAAGTGCTGCCCAGAATTCACCATTGTCACCCTGACAGTGGTGAAGGAGGGCTTTTGTCCCTTCCATTTTGCAGATGGAGACATTGAGATGTGGCTTCTGTAGCATAAGGAGAGTGATTTTGTTTGTTTTTCATTATTTATATTTGACCTGGTTTTGTACTGATTGTTTTTGTAACTATAATGCCTACTCCACAGGCAGGCATGTGGAGTGACACCCAGCTCTTCTGCAAGGTATTTGAGTTGATCCATGCCTGTGTGTCCTCGCCGAAAACTGGGGTGTCTTGGTTACTTTTCTTTCATTGCTGGGACAAAATACCTGACAGCCAGAATTAAGGAAAGAAAGGTTTATTTACCTCACAGTTTGTGGAGGTTTCAGTCCATACTCGGCTGGCACATGGCAGAGGGCAGCAGTTCAGGGTGGCAGAAAATAGTACAGGAAGCAAGATCAAAAAGAGAGGAGCGGGCTGGGGAGATAGCTCAGTGGAATAAGCACTTGCCTGGCAAGTGCAAGGACCTGAGTTCAATCCCCAGTTCTGCAAAAAAAAAAAAAAAAAAAAGAGCATTAGCAGAGTGGCAGCAAAGAGTCTCTCCTTTCATCCTGTGGAGGCCTGTGTATGAGGCATTAAGGGACCGTTTTGGCACATACGCATGTCTAGTTGGGCTGTGTGTGCTGAGTTTTCCTTTTGCTTCTAGTCACAGCATTGTCCATGAGCCTTTCCTTTTTCTTTTTTTTGGTGGAACTGGGGATTGAACTCAGGCCCTTGCGCTTGCCAGGGAAGTGCTTATTCCACTGAGCCATCTCCCTGGCTCCTGTCCATGAGCCTTTCGGACCTACTTACCTTAGGCAAAACAAGCTTCTTTTCAGTCTTTAAAATTATTTTTTCATTATTTGGTTTTTTTAGTATATGTTTGCAGTACAAAATAATTACATTCATCATGGGGAGTTGATATATGTACACAGCACATCTTAATTCTTACTGTTTACTTCTCCTTTTTAGTCTGGTTGGTTGCTCATCCCTGCATCTGTAATGTAGATCGTGTATTTATATCTTTTCAGTTTTGATTCTGTTTTTGTGTTTTAGGGGTAGGGTCTCACTGTGTAGTTCAGACTGGCCTTAAACTCACCGTGTAGCTCAGGCTGGCTTCAAACTCTTGGTGATTGTCCTGCTCAGCCTCCCAAGTGCTAGGATGACAGGTGTGCATCACCATGCCTGGCCCACTCTTTGTATCTTAGCTTTGCTGACTAACTTACTGCAGTGGCCTCCGTGTGGAAGGCCAGTTTTTATGTACCATACTTTACATGTTACAGCTCTGAAGGTTGAGTAACTTATTCCAGCTCACACAGCTAATGGGTGTGTAGCTAGGATTTAAATTCTAACAGGCTACTACAGTCCGTGCTTTTGTTGCACTGAAGGTAGGGTCCAGAGAGCCAACTGCAGCAAAATTGTCTTAGTTACTTTTCTCTCATTGTGAAGACAAAAGGCCCAACATCCAGTGTTAAAGGGGAGAAGGTTTATTTAGCTCAGATCATAGAGGTTTCATGCTATAATTGGCTGGCTCCAAGGCAAGGTGTCATGGCAAAGGAGAAACAGTCCATGGTGGACAAAAGTTAGCAAAACAAGGGGTGACCACAGCTCTTTCTATCCTTTATATTTTATCCAGACTACTTAGGGCAGGTAGCACTTACACCTTTAATCCTACTGTTCTTTTTGTTTTTTGTTTTTTGTTTTTTTTTTTTTTTTGCAGAACCGGGGACTGAACTCGGACCCTTGCGCTTGCCAGGGAAGCGTTTATTCTACTGAGCCATCTCCCTGACCCCTATCCTACTGTTCTTTTTTTTTTTTTAATTAATTAATTAACTTATTTATTTATTTGTCTGTGTGTGTGTGGCCAGCTCAGCCCACCAGGGGGCGGGGCTGGCTGGCATGTGGTGCTGGGGGATTGAACCGCG